TTCTGCTATTTCTAACTAATTCACTTATAGTTTGAATTTAATATGTTTAATTATTTAATGCTTGTTTGTAATCGCTACTTTCGTATATCTGCCAACACCTATTGCAGGACATCAGCAGCGCTCTCTTTATACTCATTGTAGTGGGCCAGGAACTGTCCTTGTGAGGTTGAATTTCCCACCTTTATTTTGTAATTACCTTTTGGTGTTTGTCTGAATGTAAATTAAAATACAATAAACAACTGTTTCATACCTGGGGCCCATCATAATTAATCCTATTTTCCCCATATCACTGTAACTATTTGTGTTGAATAATACTGTATCGAATACCGCCGCTGTTCATTTTTAATAAATTTAACTGATCAGCATTTATCTAAACTCGGGCAAACTGCCTAATCAAGTAAGCCACCAATCTGACTTCTCACAACTAACTGCTAAAACATTCATAAAGCACTTACAAACAAAATAAAGTTTCAAGATGGTCTTCACAAAATTATTGGATAATGTCCGAGCAATATTTTGTTTAAAAACATTTTAATTTTTATTCTTATGTTTTAGAAAAACTTTGTAAGTAGTTTGTAGTCGTAGTAGTCGCTAGCTAGGACCACGACTTTGTTTTCTGAAGTTTTTTTTCTTTCTTTCTAATGCGGCTGGCGAACACTTAGTACAGCTTGGTCTTGGATGTCTTCAGATACTTGAATGAAATTTGAAGATAAGCCACGGACGCGGAGTAACACTCGGCCATCAGGCCCCTGTTCTTCTAAAGTAACCAATGAGATTACTTACCACTTGGTGGTTGCTGACCTCTGCCTGGAAAGCCAGGAGGCGGTTGCTGACCTCTGCCAGGAAAGCCAGGAGGAAGTTGCTGCTGTCTTTGAGGCGGTACATCACCACTACCTGTAGTAAATTTGAGAAAATAAATTACGTGTAAAGAAAAAAACCCCCAGCAATTATGCGTTTGATACATAAAAGAAAACAGACACAGAATGTGTTTTTTAATGGCGAATCTGCAATGGAATCGAAGCGAAGTAATAGAAAATTAAAACTAATGCATTTCTTTGCAAATAACTTATTAGATTGGTAAGGAATTTATGCCGAATTTTTTAAAAAGAAAAATTGGTTATTTAATCTTATATGCAAAGCTTAAAATCGGTTATTTAAGCTGAGTGAGATTAATTAATGTAATATTGACCACTGTTTTCTATGACGTTCCTCCACTTGCCAACAAGGCCATTTATGCCCGATGCATAAAATATCTTATTCTTTGAAGCTAGGAAATATACCACTGTCTTCTGAACATCTTGAAAATTTTTCTCGAAATTTTTACCTATGAGAAAACTGTACATCGAGAGGACCATATGATAAACAGATGGTGCCATATCAGGTGAGAGTGGTGAATGTGAGAAAACTTCATAACCAAGAGCCTGGAACTTCTCCTTCATCCTTTTCCACGTGAGGCCTGGCATTGTCACGTTGGAAGACAACACCTTTTCGGTTATATGGTGCTGGATGAAGTTCACGTATTTTTTTTTTGTGTGTACAGCTGGGTTATCTGATCACAACATTTGTCTGCTGTGATAGTTCAATCTGGTTGGAACACTTTCCGATGGATAGGACCTCGATAAAAGCCCCAAATGTAAAGCAAATGGCCTTCGCAAGGATAGGACAGGCTCATATTGTTGTTCAGCAAGCAAAGAAGGAGCAATAGAGATTCGATTTGACGTACTTTTTTCCCGCCTAATCCACGAGGAATCCAACAGCAGCCTTTGTATACAAAACCAAGCTTGTTCAAGTGGTTATCAGTTGATATGTGACCTACCGCTGAACTTATCCCCGATACCTCTTATAGTCAATAGTGGTGGGGCCTGATGGCCGAGTGACTAGCGCTCTGGCATACAGTACCACAGGTATCGGGTTCGAATCCCGGCGGTTCCATGGGTGTTTGTAGTGATTCGGAATCCACTTTTTCGCCAGATGTGTTTCAAACTGAGCTTTTGTCTCCATATCGCCACCTATTTTTCAAACTGCGCCAGCCGTGTTTGAAACTGAGCTTCCGTCTCCATTCACCAGCTGCTTGAAAACTGATTTTTTAGTTCCCTACAAGAGCGGTGTTTCAAAATAAATTTTCGGCTACTTTTTTTTTTTTTTTTTTTTTTTTCAAACCGAACTTTCAGCTCTATTCGAACTGAACTTTCAGCTCTATCCATATTTCGAACTGAGCTTTCACCGCACATGAGCCTAACGAGCTTTTCAACAGACCTAAATTACGCTCATGTTCGTTCAGGATCATATCTTCCCAACGTTATAAAGAGAGAATCATATCGACACCTCAGAATAGTTTCATGGTAAAAACTGGATGGTTTAAAGAGAATGATGCACTTCTAGTTTTCACCTGCCAGCATGAATCCCCCTGCAGAGAATTAAAATAATACATTTTCAATAATGCAATTTTCAACCGCATTTACCTTGAAATGGCTGTTGTTGCTGGCCACCTGGCCGTCCAGGTTGTTGTTGCTGGCCACCTGGCCGTCCAGGTTGTTGTTGCTGGCCACCTGGCTGCTGTTGCTGGCCACCTGGACGTCCTGGTTGTTGTTGCTGGCCTCCTGGCTGTTGTTGCTGCCTATCTGGCTGTTGTTGCTGGCCACCTGGACGTCCTGGTTGTTCTTGCTGGCCACCTTGTGCTGGTTGCCGAGGTCCACCTCTACCTGTCGGTGCGACAATATAAAGAAGATTACACACTTAATATAAACCACTCAACACTATATAATAATACTTAAACTAATCTGCTATAAAATCAATATGAGTTTTTATTTCAATAATTAAAATTTCTTTACGAATTCCTTTTTTTTTTTTTTTTTTTTTTTTTTTTTTTTTTTTTTTTTAATGATAAGGTTCTATTAATGGTGGATACCATAGATTGCAAATTATTTCCAAATTTTTAAAAACCGCAACATTAATTAACAAATTAGTCAGATCGGTTAGAATTAACAAATGTGTTCCATGGAAATCCGAACGTTGGACATCCGTGTGCAAAAAAAGCATATCTTTGTTTTTAATATTTGAAAACTATAACACTTAAGGGATCAGTTTTTCTTCTTTGAATTAAGTACATTTATTTACCTGGTGAGTAAAAAAACAGCAATGAAAAAGTCCTAATTAGTTATTTTTTAATTAAATATAAAATATAAATTTTCATAAATTAGAAACTCAATTACTTTAACAATCGTCACCTTTCTCTCTCTCTCTATATATATATATACAGGGTGATTATAATTAAAATCCCACTTTCAAAATATTCTAAAAGAAAGAACCACCCGTCATAATGTGTTCAAATGTGGACTGAAGATACTTGAAGAAGGGGGAAACGGTACTGCGTCAAAAAAGTTCCAAAGTGTATTAATCGATGGTGCTGTAAGCGGCATAAAGAAAGTGAATTAGGCTGCCAGTGATATTCTGAATTGAAATGACAACGTATTTGGCATGAGTTGCACATTAAACCAATTGTAGTGTTCAATGTGCTTGATTGTTTCGGGTTTTGACGTAAAAAATGACTTCCAAGTCATTCACCAGTTGTGATACTGCTGGAGGATAGCCGATCCACCACGACAAGGTCATACCCAATTGGATAGAAAAAATCGGTGTAACTTTTTTTGATGCCATACCGCTTCCCCCTTCTTCAAGTATCTTCAGTACAAATGTGAACTCATTGTGACGAGTGGTTTTTTTTTTACAGCATTTTGAAAGTGGGATTTTAATTATAATCACCCCGTATATGATTCAGCATAACTTAAAAGACCATAATTTTTATTTAATAATCATTCTAATTTTTTTTCACAGAACTCACGATTCGTTTATCTCATATTTAGATAATCTCCAAAAAGTTGCTGCTATTTATTTTATACTTGAATAAAAACCTTATTTAATGTCTGGCGCCATCTAGTGGTGTAATCGTTTTACCCATAGTTTTTTTGTTTTTGTTTTTGTTCGTCTTAGGAAATTTTTGAATTTAAAAATAATAAATTTTCGGAGTTTATGGAATTGCGTTTTTTTTTTTACAATATATATTTTGTTAGTTTAAAATGTTCTATTGCATTAGAGTTATTTATATTTTTAACTTTTTAAATTATTATTTTCAAATAATTTTTCCTCTGTGGCAGAAGTCATTAATAAAATAAAATATAAAAGCAAAGCAAAGCAAAAAAAAAAAAAAAAAAAAAAAATGTATATATATATCTATAATTAAGTGGATTAATTATAAATTGCTTTTTTAAATAATTTATTTCTTTTGATTTAAATGATTTTTTACTTAAAATTTTCATTTACTTTGTAAAGTCATGAACTTTGCAGCAACACAACTTATATTTTATTTAAATCGAAATTGTTGGATTATGGATTTAAAGCGAATAAGATTTGTGATCGAACATGTTTAAGAACTATTATTTTTTATTTAAATTTAGAAATATTTCAATATGAGTTGATTACGAATTTAGTCTTAATATGTTAAATTGATTAAGAATTTACTGTCAATATGTTAAGTTGATTAAGAATTTTAAGTTAATATGAGTTGATTATGACTTTAATGTCAATTTGAATTGATTATAAATTTAGAATTATTATGCTGAAATTATGAATTTTATGTTAATATGTTGAGTTGAGTTGATTATGAGTTTAATGTTAATATTCGTGAACATTTTATGTGGATCTTTATTTATTTTAACTAAATACTCATTGGACAGTTCCCATGTTTAGTTCTGAAGCAAATAAAAAAAGAACTCAACATAATACCTTACCTCTTCCCTTCCCTTTTGGAGGCATTTTTTTCAATTACTGAGGGTTACACCTGAAAACAGAAGAGATTACCATATATTTAAAAAAAATTGCGAATTCAAACATGAAAATGAACAAAGACATGCTATCTTTGATTACGGTTTTCAAATTGTGAGAAACATATCGTATGCGTGACAAAACAGTGGTCGCATGTATGATGTACTTAAAACAGAGCCAACGGCCATATCATGCTGAATATACCGGTTCTCGTTAGATCACCGAAGTCAAGCATCACTGGGCGCGGTCAGTACACTTGGGTGGGTGACCACCTGGGAACACCGCGTGCCGTTGGCATGCACACATTTGGGACCTGAATGGCCGAGTGTCTAGCGCTCGGTGCCACAGGTTTCGGGTTCGAATCACTTTAAGCAGTAGCAAACAGTTAAGCTATACGGTCTCCTATGACTGCAAGAGCGTCACGGAGCCAAAGTCAGACTTCTACCTACGGGTGCTCCATCATAACAGAAGCTGCTTCCTTCCCCTTCAATCATGAGAACGTATGGGCTCGTGGGCTTGGCTAGCCAAGTGGGATAAGAAACTACAACAAAACAACTTAAAACAGGGATGTGCCAATCCAAATGATCTTGCGGGCCACTTTGGAAATGCATCCTAACTCCGCGGGCAGCATATAAAATTACAAATCCCAATATTAGATTTAGACCCACTATAGCTATTTTTTGGAGTGAAAAATTGAAACGTAATGAGTTATTATTCTTATGTTTACCATTATTCTTATATGTAAACATAGAAAATATGATAATAATGATGATACTAAACGCACATTGTAAGGAAATGTATAACATTAAAAGTGAAATGTAAAAAATATATAAATATACATGAAATAAAAAAAAAATGAAATCTTTAAAAAATATTTATTTTACTAGTGCGATATTTGTTTCTCCGTTCTCTCATTTAGCTTTTGCAAATTGATTTCCATTTGAGTATTTGCACATAATAATTGGTATTGCAGATTAGCGTCTGTTATGTTTGAGCGTGTTTTGTGTTGGATCAATTTCATTTTGGGGAAAAAAAAAATAAAACCAAAACGATTCGCAGGTGTAAGTTGAACCAAAAGTGATGACAACTTCAAGTCTGGTTTGCTCTGCTAATGAACAATCCACTGTGCGTATCTAGGGATGGTCACTGCGGTCACTTAAAGTGGAATTTTTTTCTTCTTTCTAATGCAGCTGGCAAACACTTAGACAGCTTGGTCTTGGATGCCTTAAGGCAAGCGCTGCACGGACGTTACTCAATTTGCATTACCCAGGGAGCGCGTGTCACTTGAAGATAAGCCACGGACGCGGAGTAACAATGCCCCCGCAAAGCTCTACGATCCTATTAGACCGGGACCTACGGTTTTAAGGGGATTCCGAACCACTACAGACAGCCATGGCACCGCCGGGACTCGAACCCGAAACCTGTGGTACCGAGCGCCAGAGGGCTAGCCACTCGGCCATTCAGGCCCAAAGTGAAACGTAGCACCTGTTAAATTAAATGTTCCAAAATGAGTGCGCATCACGAGTTCGCAGACTATAATTTAATTATTCTGCGAACTCATAACTGTAAACCGATAAATAAAACAGCCAATATCTGTCATATATTCGCAAGAATATTATTTTAAAATCAAAATTAATTTTTCTCATCATTTCGACAGTTCATTTTTAAATATAGGGATGCACACATAATGCATTTTTTTAATACATTGGTATTCAATTCTTTGGGCATTATAAAATAAATATATTTTGTAAAAGTGTGATAAATGTCACGGGCCGGAAAATTATTGAAGGTGGGCCGCATGCGGCCTGCGGGTTGGCCACCCCTGTACTAGAACATAACTTACCACCCCTGTACTAACATAAGTTAACCTATACCCTAACATAACTCACCCCACATAACCAGCCCTGTAGTAGAACATAAGTATCGAATCTTTTTAAACAAATGTGGTGTGAAATATTATGACTTAACAAAAACATAATCATGATCATAAAATATAATCTCTGATTGGTTAGGAATTATCATTTTAAGTTTAGAAAGGGGAAAAAATGCAATCCTAATTCTTGCAACAATTTATTTTTTATTTTGTTTTAACACGAGATTACTTTTTTATGATCACAACGTCAAATCCAGTATTTCTCAATAAAGGTAGCTTTCCACTGAATACTAAAATCTCAAGTCTTAACAACACCAGCCAATCGAAAACCAGATTTTTTTAAATATAAAAATTCGTATATAGAAACCATGCCCCCAATCACCTACGTATGTGCCTGGTTACTTGAAAAGTCAAACTAAATATTAAACAGATCCTAAATGTAAATTTTAAAATGTTTATAAAAATACATAACTTTGACAATTACAAATGAAAGTACATACTTTGGAGCAAGGTGAAATGTTAATTACGATCTAAATTCAAAATTTAAATGTATTTTAAGTTATTTTTATACATAACACTTAATATATATATATATATATATATATATAAATATAAACTTCTTTATATATAAAGAATATTATGCTTATAAATCGATATAATTAACGTCATAGCTTACAGAAACAATTACTTTTAATGGTTAATAAATACATCACGATTAAGAAATGACAATAAATATATTTACCAATAAATTGCATCTAATTTGTACACACTTAAATTTTTTTTTTGTTTGTTGATACATTTTTCCTCAAATGTCTCATCATAGTAAGCAAATTATAAATTAAAGTAAAAATCATTCACATACTTTCTTATTAAGATCGTTTTTCAAATTAAAAAAAATTAGTACATGTCTAAACCTAAATTACAAATAAAAAACAAACAGCAAAACAAAAAAGGAATTTATTGATTTTCAATCGAAAGCACATGGTCGCAGTTAAATAAGTATCATTAAAAATATATACTGCTTTTTAATCATTTGTTTTAAAAAAATATTTGTGGAAATATACACTACAACGAGATTTACATTGGTAAAGAAAGTATGACGTAAGTTTTTATATTTTATATGGAATCTTAAAAATCATGTATTCATCCAATCTGTATTTACATAAGTAACGTTTTTTTAAATAAGTATTTTCAGTTTTTAAAGGAAGATTAAAACGGGATTCAATTAAGATTCAATAAAAAAAATGAAGAAGAACTAGAAGTTTATATTTGCAAATAACGTGCAATCCTGGTTGTACGATCCCTATCTTAACTTTATTTCAATGATATTTATCGCCAAAATCGCCATCTCAAGATTTTGGCGATAAATATCCAAAGATTCTTTATTTCCAACAGATAATATTATTGCATAGGCAAATATTATTTCGTTTTAACCTTAAACATAAAAAAAACCATATTTTCTAAAATGTTTAATTAAATTACATCAATTTTTAATATTATATAAATATATTTAATTTTTATTCCAAAAGTTTAGTTAAATATCAAATCAACAAAATTAGTTAAATAACTTCTGAATTTCTTTTATCAATATATATATATATATATATATATATATATATTTCTACTTTATCTTATTTTTCATTAATTAATTAATTAATTTATTATTATTTTTTACAGAAAGGTATTGAAATACGTCTATATTTTAGCCCTTCGTTCCAAGTCTGAATAATTTTTAAATGATATTCGATTTGCTGTTAATAAATATACCTGAATTATTATTATTATTATATATGGTCCGATTCGTGTACTCAGCGATAACTTGCGTTGCTGATGACCATTAGGGCTGTGATTCCATCCACTGGCGGCACTGTTGTAGACGCTGTGTCAAAAACGAGGAGGCTCGATGGCGTTTATGATGTTTCAGCATCTTGCCTCGTGAGTCAAGACTACCTGGTGGGAGTTTTCCGGATTTTCCCCATACGGTACGCAAATGCGGGGTAGTTTCTCCTAAAAGTCCACCCAGAAGGCACTGCCCCAATTCTTCAGCGCCTAGTCAGACATCTACCTACGGGTGCTCCATCACAACAGAAGCCGCCCACTTTCCCTTACTCCATCCACGAATGGGGTGTCCGCCCCGCGCTGCTGGACACTGAGGATTAGTCACAACAATAAATATTTTTTCCCCTAATGAAGCTGGCAATACAGAGACAGTTAATTTTTATGCCATAAGCAAGGGCAGCGCCGCTGTTACTCATTCAGCACTACCTAGGAGGTGCGTGTAGCTTGAAGATAGGCTACGGACGCGGAGAAACAACACCTCCGCAACCCTCTACAATCAAGTTAGACCGGGAACTACGGTTTAAAGTGGATCCCGAACCACTACAAGCATCCATGGCACCACCGGGACTCGAATCCGAAACCTGTGGTACCGAGCGCTAGCCACTCCGCCATCACAATAAGAACAACAAATAAATAAATAAATATTTCATATTTATACATACTAGAACCGATAATTATATTTAAGGTGATTTATAACAATTCTTCTAATAATTACATTAATAATACTTTTTTATTTATAAATGTCACGTTACTAAAAATAATTTTGATCAAAAAGCCGCAAAACTTTGTATTTCAAAATTGTATTTAAAATGAAACATTCTTTCTTTAAAAGAGAAATGACGGCTGTTCTTTAATTAAGAGTAAAAAGCACGTGTACGAACAAATGAATAAACAAAATAATGACGTAACATCATATTACTCTAATCAGAGATGAATTGCTATTGCATTTTTATTTTGTTTATCCTTTCATTTCATCCTATATCTAAATTATTTTAACTTATGACTCATCTTTTTATTTACAAATATCAAATGTCCGATAAATTATCACCAAATATTTCTTCCGTTTCATAGTAAAAATATGAACAGATAAGTAATCTAAAATTGCGAAAAGTATTAATAAAACTGATGGCATTTTTGATTTTAATAGAAATCAAATTACGAACCAGGTTTAGATAACTATAAAGATTAGTTATCTATAAAGAACAATCAAAGATTTAATATCTAGAAAAACGCCTAACAACGATTTATTTTCAGATATTACATATGTTATGTAATTAACGTATTCAGTGCTTTCCCGTTAGAGGGCGCCACATCTCAAAACATCGCAATGTAATGAATAGCTATGTTTGACGTTTGTAAATTCTAGAGCATTTTTTCTCAAAGATTTATCAATTTTTATTAACAAATTGATTGATAGTTAATTAATTTTCATATCAATTATGTTGCAAATTATCAACTTTTAGATTTTTAATTTCGCACGTTGAATTAGTTTTCTTAGAATAAAAAAAAAGCAAAATAATTATTAGAATAAACCTGATAAAGACACAACAATTTTCATTATATTTCTAAAATAATATAATA